TTCTATTAAAGAGAGTAACTACTCTCTTACTCTACATACTAAATACTCAATCACTTACTACTGTTTTCCTTCCACACTCATTTAAAAAGACGCCAAAGCCAAAAGGAGTATCGAAAAAAATGAAAAGAAAATGATAATTTCAACGAATGATGATGTTTATGTCTAGATAAAGATTACATCGATATGATAATAAATTTTGAAAACTGATATTTAATAAATCTCCTTTTCAAATCGTATATACTTAATTTAAGCGCGCGATCATGATGCGACAAATGTAACGAATATCACAGATAACGTAAAACGTACATTTCATATGCGCGTACACCGACAATTGTGCCATGTGCCGCAGCAATCATGCAATTGGCGAATATTCAATTATATAATCGAATACCGGGTATGTAGTGCTATAGCCTAGCGTATGTACGTCATATGCCTGATGCAATATAAAATTTACAATTTTAAATGGATTTAAATTAAAAGTTAAAGGAATAAGATTCTTTACACTTTTCTTCATGCTCACTCGTTTTATTGTTCGAGATTTACAACGTCATTTTTTATTTGATTCAATTTTTAATTTTTATTATTTATTATTTATAATTTTTCCCGTGATGTGTGTGTGTGTGTGTGTGTGTGCGCGCGTGTGTGTTGCCAATTTAATCTGCGGTTAATCTATGTTTAGTGATATGGTAAAAGGCTGGTATTACATTTGTCGTATGACAAAGATTTTAAGTTTATTGGCTAAAATAGAAAAAGATTCGACAATTTTTCTTTCTCGCAGCCAAACAAGATTAGGCTTGAAATGAATGTCGTACGACAAAAAACGGATGATGATGTAATATTAGCCTTAAGTGCCTACGGATTATTTCATATATTGATAATATCAGATAATGTGTTCAAAATTTTCCTCTTACGGAGCGAAATCGAAATGCTTAAATTGCGTAATCGATATATAACAATATATTTTTAATATGCGATGCGACTTGTTACCACAAATTTGTTATATCTGTAACATAAATATCGAAACATTTATGTTACAGATGTTGTGAGATTTAATTGCAGCGTATATATGTATAATTTTATAAATGAACAAAAGTGCATTCGGATTAAAAATTGGATTCTTCACTTTAACGTTCGCAAATGCATACGTATTTCTGAAGAACTCCGCATCCGTTAATTCCAATCCATTCTCAATTACGGGAACAGTTACTGCTCCCCTTGCAGAATGCGAAGGAATTGCAATTTTTGCTTTTTTTCATATACATTTTTAATATAAAGTCTACTGTTCCCACTGCCTACTTTTGCGTCTACTTTAATCCTGTAAGAGGATTTTTGATTCCGTTCAGTCAATTCGGAAATTTTTTCGATCATGCAGTAATGTCGATCATTTGGGGTCTTAGTCCATTATTACTTTAAGACCACGCGTCTTAAGTAATGTTTTAAGACAAGCTAATAACGGCTCTCTAATTGGTTCATGGTGACCGTGTACTAACGGTCTTAAATATTATAAGATCCTTAAAGCCGATTTTTGATTGGTCACTATATCGTGCGCAACACTTTGCCTAACTCTACACGACATAGTGGCTCGATACGTGAGAAGTACGTGCGATGTATATGTATTCGACAGGACTCTGGAATAAAGATAAAAACAAATAAAATATATGAAATTTTAATCGGTACTCAATACTCTCTTTTTATTTGAAGAAACGAGCATACGCGCGAAGATTGGCGTGAACTAACGCTATTCTTCATGTATGCCAACATATTGTAATATGATAGTAATTATACATATAATACAATTACATGCGTATAGTGCAATTGCAAAATGATAGGATCAGAGATAATCTTCAGGAAGAAGTTAAAGAACTTTGATTATTGATATATAAAAGGCTTATTTTATATATATTTACCAGTGAGCCAAGAGCAGAATACTCAGGGTTTTCTGGAAATAGGTAAATGTCGATCAAAATCCAAACTCCTCTCCAGACGAAGACAACCAACGTACCCACGACACCAACGCTAAAGGCACAATCCAGTAAGTACAACGACCAGTCCCTCGTATTCTACAACCACACGCAATAGATTGCAATATTAACATTACAAATTGTTAGTAGTATAGTAATATTAGAATAATAGTAATAGAGTAAAAGAGGATCATTAAATATATGATAAAATAGCAATTATGCAATTCCGTGATATCTATCATGATAATGTATTAATGGTATAATGGTACATAAAATGTCAATACAAAAATAATCTTTATCTTATCTCAAGTTATTTTCTTCCTTCGTTAACATGACACACACAATAAATGGTATTTACTGCAGATTTGTGAAGAAAAAAGAAGTGATGCACAAAGTGTATATGTAATTATTAAAATATAAGCTTTCAATCGATTAGACATGTTATTATCCCACTTCAAAGATGGCAATTATGTTATTAACATGTTGAGAGAGAGAGAGAGAGAGAGAGAGAGAGAGAGAGAGAGAGAGAGAGAGAGAGAGATGGAAATGTGTAGAGATCGATTTCAGAAGGAAAGAGAGATAGAGAGTGACTTTAAA